CTTGCTTAACAATGGTGAATAAATCATGAGTCTATATATCTTTAGTGCAACAATATTCTTGATTTTTACTGCTTCCATGCTTAACAATGGTGAATAAATCATGAATCTATATATCTTTAGTGCAACAATATTCTGCAATATTCTTGATTTTTACTGCTTCCTTGCTTAACAATGGTGAATAAATCATGAGTCTATATATCTTTAGTGCAACAATATTCTTGATTTTTACTGCTTCCATGCTTAACAATGATGAATAAATCATGAGTCAATATATCTTTAGTGCAACAATATTCTGCAAGATTCTTGATTTTTACTGCTTCCTTGCTTAACAATGATCAATAAATCATAAGTCTATATATCTTTAGTGCAACAATATTCTGCAATATTCTTGATTTTTACTGCTTCCTTGCTTAACAATGATCAATAAATCATAAGTCTATATATCTTTAGTGCAACAATATTCTGCAATATTCTTGATTTTTACTGCTTCCTTGCTTAACAATGGTGAATAAATCATGAATCTATATATCTTTAGTGCAACAATATTCTGCAAGATTCTTGATTTTTACTTTAAGCATGGAAGCGGATTTCGTTTCATTACACTTACAATTCTTAACGATGTTTTCAGCTTTAAAACTATTTGCAAACTCATTATTCTCTTGAACAGTATGTTAATTATGATTCAAAAAGTCATATAGACTCATGATTTATTCACCATTACCAAAGTTTTACTTGTTTAACACTTGTAATTTTACTGTTGAATGACAACACTCAATATAAACATAAGTTAACACTAACATAATGTGAAATCAAACTGCTTCGATTACTAAAAAATTAGGCCTAAACTTATGCGGATATAAATCTTTTTTTTTCAGATAGACTCTGATTTTAGGACTTGCATCTAAAAACAAGTATCTTTTGTGTTTAACAATAATATTTACGTTAATTCACAGACAATTTAATGCAGTTTACTCACGCTAAAAAGTTATTAGTGTCTTTTGTTTTCATAGTTAACCCCCAAAACTTTAGTCTCTAGAGAAGCCTAAGTATGTACATCATTAATTAACAGTAATGTCTATGGGTTTTTTCCCTCGGAAGAATGCAATAGGTGATGTATGTTTAGTTGTGTTGTAGACAGGAAATTGGTTATATGTGTCCCCGTGTTAAACATAAACAAACATTCATATATATTATATTTGTATGTTAAATATCAAAGATAAAAAAAAAATCACATTTATTGTCTCTACATGTTAAACGTAAACATTTAATTTCTCATGTTTATTGTTACTGTATGTTAAACATTAAAAGATGTACGTCTGCGTTTGTTGTTACTGTATGTCAAACATTAAAAAATGTACGTCTGTGTTTGTTGTTACTGTATGTTAAACATTAAAAGATGTGCGTCGTGTTTGTTGTTATTGTATGTTAAACATTAAAAGATGTACGTCCGTGTTTGTTGTTACTGTGTGTTAAACATTAAAAGATGTACGTCCGTGTTTGTTGTTACTGTATGTTAAACATTAAAAGATGTACGTCTGTGTTTGTTGTTACTGTATGTTAAACATTAAAAGATGTACGTCTGTGTTTGTTGTTACTATATGTTAAACGTTAAAAGATGTACGTCTGTGTTTGTTGTTACTGTATGTTAAACATTAAAAGATGTACGTCTGTGTTTGTTGTTACTATATGTTAAACATTAAAAGATGTACGTCTGTGTTTGTTGTTAGTGTATGTTAAACATTAAAAGATGTACCTCTGTGTTTGTTGTTACTGTATGTAAATGATAACAGTCTTCAATGGTTAAACAGTTGAGTTAAACATCAACTTTTCGGATATTCCATAGGTTTTTGGACACTGTAGTTTATGGTTCAAACTGAGGTTATACACCGAAACTTTCTGAGATGTTTTTAAATAATTTTTGTCTTTAGATTTTTCTATGGTTTTTGTATAGGCACTTAAACATTTTGGGATCTTTGACCCCAAATTATAAGAAAAAAACACACTTTATAATGACAATCATACCACTGTGGCAATCCAGCGAGCGCCACCTATTGCAAATATATGGTTTAAAAACGACTGTGCGAAACAATTGTTTTACAAACAAAAAAACGTAGTATAACGAGTTCATTAGACTTGTTAAAACACATTTCTCTAAATTTACTAACTAAAAAATTATATATTGAACTTACGTTTTTTTTTTCTGTTTCTAAGATCTAATATTTGAGTTTTACAGTACGTAACACTTTGGCAGATGTTTGATACTAAGATATCCTAAACCACCAAAGCGCCCCCCTCACACACACACACACATACACACGTAACCCTAAAGCTCTGAGGATTACATTATTCCCGTCTCTTGGCTCCCAACAGCGTGAAGAAAGACACACGAGTTCGACGAGAGTCTCCTTTGGCCCTTCGAGGACCTAACCCTAATTGTCAGATGTTCGGATCAGAAGAACTTGTCCCTCCACCTCTAGGGGGCATACACCCAGTAGCATCTCCATATCCGCACTCGTCAGGGTCGCCTCGATAGGCCGAGGCACTTCCGGACCAACTGGAAGACCCTCTGAATTCCAGGTTAAACTGTAAAAGTAGAGGAACCATAAAATAGGACGGAGTAGGTTAGTGTTTACTCTAATCCTCACAATTACGCAAGTCCAAAACTCTTCTAAACAAAAAACCCTCCCTTAAGTTTCTTTTAAATATGGCAGCTTATATTTTAATACGACTTAAAATGACGTTTACAGACAGTGCAAGCGTTACTATAGATATAATTATTATACATTTAATTATCTGTATATTTCACATTCGTGCTTGTTGCTTGTAAAACTATAGATATCAGGCCTTTTATAGACACGACCTTTAAAATAACATGGTCTTAGAGTATTTGAAACCAGGTACGGTTTCTGATTCGTAAATATTTGCATTTCATCTGTGACGTAGTGGATATTTGTTTCTTATGTTTTAAAAGTATAAAACAATATCTATTGATTTAACATACGAGTTGTTAAAACAGAGTATTAATCACGTTAAAATTGATATTTCAGTTTGTTTATTTGGAAAAAGAGGATCAAAGTTTAGAAACATATACTGAACTGTACGTAGACAGCTTTACCTATAAAATCATTATATTAGATTAATGCCGAGGTATTAAATTATTATGAATAAAACGTTTGGATAAAGAAGTTAAGTTAGGCTTAAAATTACGAATTAACACGATATTCTTAGCATGTCCATTACGCTTTTTATCTTAAGCAATAAATTATTAAGATAATGTTTTACCTTTGATGCACATACAAGGCTTGTGGTAACTACTTTTGACACTACATTCATTAGGTTTTTTGTACCTTGAATCACGTTATCAACCTATGAAAAACAAAAACAAACAAACATAACGCAGACGGTAACACAAGGGATGTAGAGTTATACCTTAACATACTGTTCATTACTGCTAACCTTAACATACTTTTAGATTATTCTAACCCTAAAACAAACTGTGACATATTGCTAATTCTAAAACATTACAAGTTATTACTAACCTTAATGTATAACATCGTAATAACAAAAAATATTTTGTTTGCGAGAAACCAGAGCGCGTGATCATTCTTGCTGAACTGGTTGTGTCTGTTAGTTTGACACGGTATTTTATTCAGTTATTGTTTTTTTATTTAGTTCTTGAAAGTTAGATGTTTGAACAGCCATTGTAACATCTGATCCATAATCAATAGTCACTGTAACATCTGATTCAGGAACAATATTCACTGTAACATCTGATCCAGAAACTGACATTTATTATAAAATCTAATCCAGGAACCAACAACCATTGTAACATCTGATCCGAAACCAACAGCAATTTTAAGATCTCATCCAGGAACCAATATTCACTGTAACATCTGGTCCATAATCAGTAGCCACTGTAACATCTCGCCCAGGAACAATATTCACTGTAACATCTGATCCAGGAACCAACAGTCTCTGTAACATTTGATCCAAGAACCAACAGTCTCTGTAACACTTGATCCAAGAAACAACAGCCACTGTAGCATCTGATCCAGGAACCGACATTCATTATAAAATCTAATCCAGGAACCAACAGTCACTGTAACATTTGATCCAACAATCAACAGTCTCTGTAACATTTGATCCAGGAACCAACAGTCACTGTAACATTTGATCCAAGAACCAACAGTCCCTGTAACACTTGATCCAAGAAACAACAGCCACTGTAGCATCTGATCCAGGAACCGAAATTCATTATAAAATCTAATCCAGGAACCAACAGTCACTGTAACATTTGATCCAAGAATCAACAGTCTACTGTAACACTTGATCCAAGAAACAACAGCCACTGTAGCATCTGGTCCAGGAACCAACAGCCACTGTAACATTGGATCCAGGAAACGATAGCCACTGTAATGTCTGATCCAGGAACGATGCATTGGATAAGTAGGTATAAAAATGGTCTCTTTCTCGTCCAACACTGAAGACTCCCATCGTATTGATGAGAAATACGACGAATCACACTGCTTTGATCAGAACTTAAATTAAGTTTTATAGGCATTACACATTTATCAAATACAATAAATGTTTACAGCTTTCTTAAGCAGCACTGTCATAGATCTTTTCCGTGATTTGGGTAAAAGATCACCATCATCACCCAAGGTGAGAATATACAACATTTCTGAGTTAATACAGATCGAAGGAGCTCTAGAATCCTCTAGATACAAAACATATGCTATTTCTGAGTAAATACAGATTGAAGGAGCTCTAGAATCTTCTAGATACAAAACATATGCTATTTCTGAGTAAATACAGATCGAAGGAGCTCTAGAATCCTCTAGATACACAACATATGCTATTTCTGAGTAAATACAGATCGAAGGAGCTCTAGAATCTTCTATATACACAACATATGCTATTTCTGAGTTAATACAGATCAAAGGAGCTCTAGATACAAAAATAAGTTTTCGTACTTCAATTCTATTATGACGTCACAATATTTTGAAGTAGAAAGTTTTCACACTCAGACCTTGATCCTCCAAGGATAATGTGTGAAGAGTAATTGTGCGCAGAGGATGGACAAAGATCGCAACTCGATTCAAGGGTAAAGCACTTTATTGCTTTGGGTGAAGTGGTCGAACTAATTGTCAGAAATGCAACACCAGGAGTCGTATCCCTTCCAGTTGTCCTCGACACACATTAAAAAGTCCCTTTAAACTCAGTTACCAGCTCAAATATATAAAACAGCCAGGTGTCTTTTATCGTTTGATTTGCTTTGAATTTCGCGCAAAGCTGTAAAAGGACTACCTGCGCTAGGCATCCCTAATTTAGCAGTTATAGACTAGAGGGAAGGCAGCTAGTCAACACTACCCACCGCCAACTCTTGGGCTACTCTTTTACCAACGAATAGTGGGATTGGCCGTCACATTATAACACCCCCACGGCTGAGAATGTTCGGTGTGACGGAGATCCGAACCGTAACCATGCCAGGGCTAACTCCTATGGTGCTTGTATCTTTATGTTATTTGAATTTCATTGGAAATTTAGCAGTTCTTGCTTTTCATTTTAGTTTTAGAGATATATTTGTTTGTCGTTAAGCGCAAAGTTACACAATGGGCTGCCATTGAAACCCGATTTTTAGCGTTCTTTGCTCTCCGACTTACTGCTGAGCCACCTAGGGGGGCAACGATACACAATCGTCTATCTGCTCTCTATCCTCCGAATGGGGGGTGTCGAGTCTGGATTGTACGTCTGTTAAAGTTACCACTGACCTATCGGGAGATTGTAAACATAAAACATTGTCTGTAATTTCCTATTTTGACTAACTGTGTTAAAAATAAGAACGACTGTTCCGTCAGCCATTTTGTTAACCAAAATGTTTGGCTTCGCATCAAATATAGTATAAAATCAACACAAGTGACTAAACCTCACTAACACTGAATTAATTATTCTTATTATCAATACTTATTCAAAGTTGCTTGTGTTAGAGAGTATTTTGTACCTTGGTGAAGGTTGCTGCTTTACCCACTGTAGGGTTCCTAACTGTAAATTGCAGCTGTTGAACGTAGGTTGGGACCTTATCAAGGTTTTCCAGAAGTTCCTTTTTTTGAGCTCCACCTGGAACCTGAAATAATCAATAATTTTATAGAAGGTTTGTTTGTAGATTGTTTAGGTAAAGAAATAATGATCTAATGAATATTGTTACTGATAATGATAATTATATAATACACGTTTTGAACGACATTACTTGTTAAAGCAGTTCTACGTTAATTTACAAATATCAATGTTCTTAATTTTATGCTATAACAAAAATAACTAATAACAAATGTCTTAACTTCCCGTTCGTACCGAGAAAAGATTGAACACAAATCCTGTAGGGATGAAATACAAGTCTGATAAAGATATTCAAGATTGATTAAGAAATGGAGAAGAAACAATCACATAAAAATGATATTTGAACGGATAGAAAGAAACGACTTGATTTGGGACGGATTTCTTTTTAAGTTTGTGCTCTCCACATCTTGGATATAAAGACTTTAGTTATAAACACCGTGCTTCGCGGAGAAGTGGGCTCCACAAATCTCGAAAATTGCCAAACATGAGGGGGGAGATGGCGAGGCTCTGAGAAAAAAAAGCAAACAAACGGAACACTAAGTGTGTACACAAGGTAGGGGAGGGAGGTGGCGACACATTGTGGATAATACGTAACAATATGTTAACAACAGGGAACTGACGAGACATTGTTGAAGATACGTAACAATATGTTCACAACAGGGAGCTGACGAGACATTGTGGAAGACACGTAACAATATGTTCACAACAGGGAACTGACGAGACATTGTGGAAGATACGTAACAATATGTTCACAACAGGGAGTAGGAGAGGTTTGTGGAACATACGTAACAATATGTTCACAATGGAGAGAGGAAGAGGATGTAGATACACCCTAGTGTTGGGAAATAAAAGTAATATACGTGACGCAGCTGACTAATTATGATATTACTATTTCTTTGTATTACCATATAAACTGAATGTATTATCGCATTTGTTAAGCATAACCTTTTTTCTGTAAATATTTCAGACGTTAGTATCATAGAAAATGTTCTCAGAATAATGTATATGTCCACACACATAATAATGGCCATTATGATGCTGTGAAATACATGTTATTACATTTTAGAAAAGACTCGTTTAAATATGTTATGGGCCATTTTCGGTTCTTAATGACAGTTACCCTTCATACATTAAAAAAAAAAACTTTCTCTTTATTTCCGTTTACCAATCTGTTTTTGTTGGGTTTAGTTTGTTTTCTGATCATAACAGTTGTGATTATCAGCTATTCTGGTGAAACATATAATCTTTTTGTGTTCGGTCAAACTAAAGGTCAATACAAATAAAACCAGTTCAAGAGTTAGACCTTTAGTTTGACCTAGCTCTTGAACTGATCTTATTTGTATTGACCCTTAGTTTGACCTAGCTCTTGAACTGATTTTATTTGTATTGATCTTTAGTTTGACCTAGCTCTTGAACTGATTTTATTTGTATTGACCTTTAGTTTGACCTAGCTCTTGAACTGGTTTTATTTGTATTGACCCTTAGTTTGACCAGTACAAATAAAATGTTTACCTGATATGAAAATTGACGAACTTCTTTATACAGCCTGTTAGCTTCCTCGGCAAATAACTCCGCTTGGGTAAATAGATCCTGAAAATCACCACAGAAAAGTAATTAAATATACATATGTTCTGCTTATAAGCTGAGTAATACTTTAGTTATATAGCAATTGTAGGGATTAAAGGTTAACAGTTTGACATTTACTGTTGTTAACCGTTTGAAAGTCAAATGAAAAAAAATACAACTGATTACCTATCTGTTTCTTCTTTACAAAATTTATTTTAACTTGTGAGTTTATTTCGTATTGAAATCAATTGTTTGTTGCATCCAAATTTTCAAATAGATTAAAGTTTATTTTTTAGACAGCTAGATGCACCAGTAAAAACATTTATCTGCGATTTTCTCATTTGAATATATTTGAGAATTCAGAAAATACTAACAGAAAATTATTAATGTATTCTAGGAACACGTTTCCATTCGTTTCAATTAAGTTCTAAGATCGATACTACTTTCTATCGCTTCAAAAGGCAACTTGGTTTTGTTGAGACAAATCTTGCATAAACAAACGCATACGTAAAACAAAAAAAAATGAATTAATTTCCAAACAGTTTTGGCATTTGATGGATATTTACGAATTTTTTCAAACGGAAAGCTAGGCTACATCTTCTGCTTTTATAGTTTTATACTTTAAAAAACAACTTAGTATAGTGTGGTAACGAAACGAATGCTAGATATGATAAGACTGATGACTGGCTAACCCTAACATTGTCTCTCTCTGGCTGATTAAAGTAAACATGCTCACTTGAGTGGTTTTAAGATCCCCCTCTCCCCTCGTGAACTGGTAAACTAAGAAAGCCATTTGGGACATTCCCTGTGTTCGCCGGACAATATCGCTATCATTTTCTTCAGACAGGTACTTTTCGGTTTCTGCGTTCATTTCCGAAGTTAAGTTTTTCATCTCTAAGCCAGCCTTTTCAATCTTTTGCTTTTCCTGAGGGAATGAATAAATAACAAGTTAGACTCGTGCGTCGTCTATACGAAATGAATGTTAAGAAATTGAAAACATTTCTTCAGACAAAAAAAAGAGAGAGACGGAAGCGCCACTTAGTGGATCTCAAACAACTTGAGTTTAATTCAGTGTTACTTTCAATCATTTAATAGTAAAATGTGTTAAATATTTCTCTATCCGGCTCATTAATAACACTTAATAAAAGCTTATCTTTAAAAACATATTGGGAAAATAAACGTCAATATCTCAACCTTAACATGAAACTTTAGTATGTGTGTTAATGTACGACAACGTGTTTTATGTGTGTGTTAATATAATGTGTTTAGTGTGTGTGTTAATGTACGACAACGTGTTTTATGTGTGTGTTAATATAATGTGTTTAGTATGTGTGTTAATGTATGACAACGTGTTTTATGTGTGTGTTAATATAATGTGTTTAGTATGTGTGTTAATGTATGACAACGTGTTTCATGTGTGTTAATATAATGGTTTAGTGTGTGT